AAATTCACTTGTAACTTTAAGAGATTGTACAAACAATAAGTTGCTCAGCACACTCTCTGGAATAGTTACAACTATAAATAAATGTAATGCTAAAGTTTGAAAAAGACGATATTTTACTGAAATAAATTAACTGTTACAGATGCAGCAGCTCCAATTTGGAGCCTCCAAAGGATGCTCGGCAGGAAAACAAGTAGAGCGCAGCCGAACAGATCCCAATATGTTAGTCATCACGTAAACCTCAGACCACAATCATCCATGGCCTAAACGAAGAAACGCTCTTGCTAGATCTACAAAATCTCAATCTAATTAAAAAAACAACAATAATGTGTCTTCTTCAAAGATCTATATGAAATTGCCCCTAAATATAAAAGTGAGTGATGCAAGTTTCAGGTGATCTGTCTGTAATTTCCCGTAAATCCCGATTTCTGTTAAGGGAATCATAATAGCCCAAGCAGGCTCAATGCTCACCACAAAACCAGATCTAGGGGCAACATAAAATTTTTTATGCGTTATTTCACTCCAAAAAATGCCAAAACCTAGTTATCACTCAAAAAAATTAAATAGATCTAAAAAATATTTATGAAAACTCAAGCTAAGAGGAGAATCTGAAGATATATATGAAATATTAAAAAAAATAATCAAGGATGACGCCACTGTAGCCTTACAAGCAACCAAGCAAGAATATCGAGCAACCAAGCACTGAAGCAAGAATACCGCCTAGTCGATCCAAAGCCGACAAAAATATACTTTATAGAAGAAAAAGAGAAGTAGAGATTAGAGAAAGAACACAAACAATCAACCCTAAGCTCTTCGCGATTTTGAGAGAAAAAGAAGGAGAGCCGGCGGAAACCGAAGGCTTTCAAGAGGGGAAAGCAGGCCGAAGTGCCGAACAGCCAAATTGGGGTTAGGGCTTCTAGGGCTTAAGTGGTTATGTTCCACTTTAATGCAAAATTAGTATTATTATTTATGTTTTAATTAAAAGTACATGTAAATGGGTGTATGGAAAACAATTAATTTTGAGTGAAAGGGTTAATTGCAACTAAAATAGTGTACGTGATTGGGTATGTTTTCAAATTTCTTTTTATGACATTGTACACTATCAATGTATGTTAATGCTTTTAAAATTGGTAATAGTTCTAATATTTTTCCTTTATATTTTCCAACAAAGAAAACATTATTGAATTAATAGGCGCTAGAAAAATAATTGTTGAACTTAGATTAAACTCCAAACCACTATCTTTGAAATAGATAAATTTCGAGTGATCTTACAAATCATGATCATACTAAAATAACATAACTTCTATAAGTATGGTGAACAATCAGAGCCTTCGAATGGTGAACCATTCAAAGTCAACAAACTTGCCAACTAACATGAAACCATTAGAAAAAAAGAGAAACTTCATAACAAAGTAGCTCAATAATACCACAGCAGACAAAGAAAATAGACAATAGATAGATATAATATTGTCCATGAATCTGATCCAATAAATAACTATCGGTAGGTTCAGGAATTCTTTTATTCTACTTTAAGTATCTGGTGGAGAGCTTGATATGAAATTTCATTTTGAATATGACGGTAGAAATGCAAGATAGTGAAAGATGGTTCATAGATTATACAAACTAGCATAAAACAATCTATGAATTGCAAAAAACATGTCCAACAAAAATACTCCCACCAAATTCAACGCAATATGATAATTAGATTGCCAAAGAATTTATTTATATACTTTTTCGCGACAAGTTGCACCATCAAATTTTACAAAAGATAAAACCGACAAAACCAAACCATCCGTAATATTGATTTCCAAAAAGTGAAAAATGTACCTCCCTCATCTTCTTCATGGCTCTATATACTCGATCATTCCACAGTTAACTCTAATGACTTCTCCATTAACCCATTCCTCCAAACCAGGACAAAGAAAACCTACAACCGGCCTCACATTCTCCGGCGCACCAAGCCTCCCCATAGGATTATTTTACGTTGCTGTCTCTGCATCCTACTCTGTCTTCCATGCAAAAAACATATCCGTCGCAATTGGCCCCAGTTGTAGTACAACACAAGTTGTTGTGATTCTCCTTCCCTGAAGTTCCTTCACTAGAGTCTTAATAATCACCTCTACCGCCGCCTTTGAAGCCTTGTAAACCCCCGACCCCGGCCGATTCGATGATGACAGCACAATGATCCTTCTGTCGCCACCTCGTACCACTTGATTGGCGGCTTCCTGAAGCACGAGGAAAGTGTCGTGTGCATTGATTGACATGATTGAGTCGAATATAGTGAGGGGGTGGTAGTTGAGATCAAGGATGCCGGCAAAGTGGATGACGATGTGTGGGGGGGAGTTGAAGGTTTGTTCAGTGAGATCGAAGACTCAGAGGACATAAACAAGATCAGAGACATCAACGTGGAGGGGGGTGGCGCGGGGAATGGAGGATGAGGAAGAAGAATTGATTTATGCAATCAGGCGATCAAATTTGACGAAGCTGGAAGAGAAGTCTATGGCGATGGAGGCCAGGTGGAGGTCGGTTGCGCGGCTGAGGTTGGTGGTGGCGCCGGTCATGATGGTCACACGACCATTCAAGGGGAGAGACATGTCTGGTTTTGTAACTTTCAACCTAACACACTTTAGGTTTGGTTGAGGATAAAAGTGACGGGCAATGGATTGTTTTCTGTTGGAGCATTTATTTAAAAGTGCATGCTGTTAAAAGGAGGAAGGAATAATTACAAATGGATTTTATTGAATTTTCATTGTACACTTGTATTAATATATATAATAGTTAAAGTATAATAAAATCTATATATGAGTTCACATTTATTTATTTATTTTTTTTGCGGAGCAATTATTAGGTGCAGAGTAGATACATGTGAATTTTGTTGTATTTTAATTGTATTGATTGTATGAACCAATACAATTAAAATACAACGAAATTCATATGTGTGAAGTCTCATCTAATAATTTTGACTCGTAACTCGACTGATTTTTTTCAATATGATCTTAATTCGAGCCTAAAATTTGAATTAATTTTTGAGTGATTAACGATCTTTAAGTTAAATTCATAGCCCTAACATCACTAAGATTGTTAATAATCTAATTTTGAGCCGAGAGCTGGGGTTCGATTGAAAAAATTCAATCCAAATTTTGGCCTGTAGTTCAGCTCAGTTATTTCGTCCCAATCTCAACCCAAGCCGGAATTCAAATCAATTTTCGAGCGATTAACGATCTTCAAGCTAAATTCACAGCATATAAGAAGATGTCTCACTCTTTCATATCATTTAGATTTATGATTTATTCAACTCCATCTTTCTATATAAGACTTATCATCGACGGTGATCAACAATTAGAGAGAGATATCATTTAATTGGAATATAAACTCGTAATTTCAAAAAAAAAAAAAAAAAATCTCAACCCACCTTCATCCAGGTTTGGAGTCTAGCATCCATGCAATTAGAAAAAAATTTTGTTTGCATTTTAATATAAAAATGACAAATATATGTTGATAAAAAATTATAAAAAAAGTGTGATCTATAGTTTCATCGTTAAGTCTTTCTATGTTAAAGCTAAAATATAAGGATTTTTAATGTTATTATATTTGTCATTTTTTGTTTATATTTATAATCAGATAATAGTTCATCAAATTAAGATAGTGTTTGATTGCAGCGTTGGATTTACATTTATCAAATAAGAATCATCAAATTCGATAAATTCGGATCAACCTCCAAGCAAATTTAATAAATTCGGATTTACGTAGCATAGGAGACTAAAAGGAGAAGAAAGAAAAGCAATTTAAAGGAGAGTTGGATTTAGTTTTCACATTTTTTTCCCCATAATTTATGTTAAATTCATGGCTAAATCATATTAAATTGTGCTACAAAACAACCCCGAAATGCCTCTCATAGTGGAGAAAACTCACTAATCGTTCAAAACAGACATCGAAAAGACATCGATAGAAGAAAATCATCTTTCTTTAATGTTCATACATTTGTATATATTCAAAATTTCATCTCAACTTAAAAAAACATTTTATTGAATCTCATGCTCATGAAACATATTCCAGGCTAATTGGCACCCACATTTGCCTACAAAAAGCACTCAAATTGAAATACTAGCAAGCGAGACGCCATTGAGAGTGCAAGATGAAGTAGTTGTCTTCAAGGTATATTAAGATCAAACTAACAAAAAGGAGCACTGCTGCTAAATTTGATCAATGAAGAGGAGCAATTGTGATGTATATTTGAAGTAAAAAAATCTAACACAACGAAGGACAAGTCTAGAAAGAATGAAAAGAGTGATTCATAATAAAATTTTAGGAAGTAGAAGACAGGTAGCTCATCTTTATATATATCCTAGAAGAAATAACTAAAGTAAAAAGGTCTAACACTTAGGCATGCTCTAAAATAACAGGTACTTATCCATTTCAGGCCTTCCTTATGCAAATACATCAAAATTCTAAAAATTTCTGCACATGTGCAACTGAAGGTCAAGTGTTATAGCTTCATATATGTAATTAATGAAGAGAAATCTGCCCATGCGCCTCTCCCCAAATATTATATATTCAAATTTCTCTGAATCATAAACTCAGATATAGAAACATTTCAGAATTCATAACCTCGTTTATATGAGTAATAATCATTTTAGCTCTTCACGAACGTTTAAAGCATAACTTTCCAAACTTTCATAGATAAAACAATCATACTCCTTGAGCTTTGTAGAAGCAAGTTTTGAAACAATAAGAACAGAACGAATATACCCTAATTTCAACAGCAGAAGAATGCCACAAACTTTTACTTCAATATATGCATCATTTCATATCAGTAAACATATCTTCTCATTCTAGATGCAAGGATGCTTTTCATTTTGCACTGAAAATGTGTAATGTAAATGACTTCATATAATTTGTAAGCAGTTTCAAAGTTTTAGAAATCTAATAAAAAATAAGCTTAATCAGTAAGAAAAAAGAAGAGTAGAACAGTGGTCGGAGGCAATGTAGCAGATTCAGTGATATTATGGTTGAAGAATTTGTCCGTTAATCCATTGGCCTACAGCAGAAGAAAGATATGCTACGAAAAACCCAATACAGCCCGTCTTCTCTGGCCCGGTTGAAATACAGTTTACCCTGATTCTCTTCTCTTGAAGTTCTGAGGCTAGAGCCTTAATCATGGCCTGTATCGAGTTCATTGAAGCGGCATAAAGCCAATTGTCCAGCTGGTTCTCCACAAGCCACGAGTGGAGCAGAATGATCCTTCCCTCGCCACTCACTACCACTCGATTGGCGGCTTCTTGCAGCATCAAGAACGACTTGCGTGGATTGATTGAGTCGAATACAGCGAGAGGGGTGGAGGAGACGGAGTAGTAGTTGGGATCGATGATGCCGGCGGAGTGGAACACAATGTGTGCGCGGGATTTGAAGTTTTGTTCTGTTAGATCGAATATTGCTCGGACAGCATCAGGATCGGAGATATCAGCGCGGATGGTGATGGCGCGGGGTATGGAAGCTGAGGAGGAGGAAGAGGAAGAAGAATTTATTTCTGTAGCGAGACCATCCGCTTCTAGCGAGCTGGACTCGGAAGAGAAGACTAGCGAGATGAAGGCTCCATGGGAGGCTAGGCAGAGGGCGGTAGCGCGGCCCATGGCCTCGGAGGCACCGGTCACAATGGCCACCTTCCCATTCAAGTGACTGAAAGCTATGGGCGGAGGAGACATACTTTCTTTTGAATGCGAGATTTGGCGAAGTGCGAGATTTGGACGAAGGCGCTGAGCACGATAAATAGAATAGATGTAAGAAGCGCAGTGATACTGAGCTTTCGCGAATTGCGAACAATTCGCGTCTCATTCCGTAATGAGTGCAACTATAAGTAGAATAGATGTAAGAAGCGCAGTGATACTGAGCTTTCCCGAACAATTCGTGTCTCATCCCGAACAATTCGTGTCTCATTCCTTAATGAGTGCACCTATAAGTAGAATAGATGGAAGAAGCCATACTGAGCTTTCGCGAACAATTTGTGTCTCATTCCTTAACGAGTTTTTGTTCGATTCATTCTACGAGTAAACATGACGAGCTTGAATAAATATTTTTTCGATGAGTTCGTTCGTGTTCAAATTATTATTGTTCGAAATATAAAATAATTTAAAATAATTATATATAAAAAATTTATGATATTTTAAAAAATTAAATTTAATAAATTATCATATATAATAAATTAATAATAATAATAATATATTAATATACTTTATTAGTAATATACTAATATAGATATTATATATTTATATAATATAAGTTATATAATTAATATAATATACCAAACTTGCTCGTTATTCGCGAACAACACGTGTTTGGCTCGTTCGTTAAGAAAAGAATACGAACAACGACTCCACGAACAATTTCGAACGCGAGCTTATTTCAAACAAACTAAATTTTAAGCAAATCAAATATGAACACAAGCTCTGTTCGTTCGTGTTCGGTTCGTTTACACCCCTAAGTGATACTTGGTCCAAATTTAAAAATTTAAAAATTTTTAAAACTAACATTAATTAAGTGGGTGATATTAAAATAATTGGAGGCACCTACGACCTGTATAGAATAAGAGCTTCAAAAAGAGCAATTAGTAGGTGCGAAATATGTACAAGCGCATTCAACAAAATCCTGTTGATTGTATTAATACACATAATACAGTTAATATATAACGAAATTTATATGTGTTGAGTTTACATCGAATAATGTTTACATAGAAAAAATGGATTTATGTCGCATAGGAGATGGAATGGAGGAAAAAGAGACAAAACTAGAGAGAAAGCAATTTAATGGAGAATTGGATTTAAGTTTTTTTTGGTTGAATTTAGGTTAAATTCATGACTAATTGCTATTAAAGTGTATTACCAAACACCTTCGAAGTGTCTCTCATATGATTGCACTAAGATCTCTTTATCTTCTTCATGGTGGAGAAAACTCACTCAACCGTTGTTGCTTTTAGGAATATCAAAATAGACTTCGAAAAGACAACGATAAAAAAATCATTTTTCTTTAATGTTCATCTATTTTTATATGTTCATTATTTCATCTCAACTTCAAAAAAAAAAAAATATTGAATCTTATGCCAGTGACAAATATTCTAGGTAACTCACACCCATTTTTGGCTACAAAAATTGATCAAGTTGAGTTCCTAGCCAGCGAGTCATAATTGAGAGTACACGATGAAGAAATGATATTCAAGGTATATTAAGATCAAACTAACAAAAAAGAGCAATACTAGTAAATTTGATCAATAAAGAGGAGCAATTGTGATGCATAAACGTAGTAGAAAAGTCTAACAAGACGAATGACAAATCTAAAAAGAATGAAAAGAGTGATTCATAAAAAAACCTTAAGAAATAAAAGACAAGCAACCCATCTTTATATATATCCTAGAAGAAGATATCACAATTGCGGATGAGTGGATCACACTTTTGGGACAATCTACTGAAGAAGTTGAACAAAAAGCTGTAGAAACTTTTATATAAAATATGAGCAAAAAGTATCTCGACAGGCTAAGAACATAAAACTAAGCTAAGCTATTGTTGGTAGACAATATATATATATATCTTATGTGTGTGCGTTTGTATATATATGTATGAATGTATAGATGAATGTATGAACTAATTATGAGTGTTGTATTATGTGTAAGAGTGAAGAAGAGTGACCAAGGATGGGCAATGCAAAAGGATTAATAAGGGCAAGATGATGATAATGAGTAGCTATGTCACGTAGGAATGTTTCTACCCCATTTACCTTATTTTAGATATTATTGTATATTTTTATTTGTGAACTTTCTATGCATTAGGGATAATACATGACTCATGTGTGGGGAGCAACAAAAGCATAATACTAATTTAGTTGCATCTTTTCTTCGTTTTTTTCAATTTCAACATCATTTTTGTTAGCCAAATTGAAATTTCTATGTTCTCATTGAAATTTCTATGATCTCTATTTAGAATAAGTGTTTGGCTATTAATTCATTGTGCATTTGTAATTATTTTTATTGTATCTGATGTTATGTTTAATTATATCAAGAAGGAGCCAAGGGTAATATTTATAATACTAATGAGCCTGAAGATATTGATTTAACATGTGTCTTAGCCATTTTTTATTCTTATTTATGTCTTTTGTGTTTATTTATGTAAGGGGTAAGCATGAATTTTCAGTATAAGGAGTAAGCATGAATTTTCAGTCATATCTAGATTGCCTCCTTTAGATTTATCTACTTAAAGAAATAGTTTGTTCATTATGACATATAATAATAACTATTTTACTTGATAATTGAACTAGTTTCACTTAGATGTTGCTTTATATGATGCACAAATATTGAAGATTGATTATCTTATGTACTAAAATTTTTTTTCTGTTTGGATGTATAAGTGAACAATAATGGATAACACAGGTCATGATAGAAAGTTGGTTGCAGCTTTGGTCCTTCATACACCAACTTATTAAAAATGAGAATTATCAAGGACCAAAGTTGCAACCAACTTTCTAACATGACCTCTGTTATCCATTATTGTTTAGAAAAAGTCATCATCTGAAAATGTAAAAAAAAAGAGAATTATCAACTATAAAAATCTAAATAAAACTAGAAAAAAGTAAATACAAAAACCCTCTATAATTTTCCTATTATTTATCTAAAAAAATATGTGATGTTATTAGAAGCCCTAACCACCATATTGATAACCATTTCAAGGAATGGATATAGGTGTATGGTACTAATACTGCAACCCTACTACAAAATAAAATTTTTTATGTTGAAATGAATACAATAACACTAATTAAAACTCAAGATAATATGAATTAAAACTTATTAACACACTTTTGTAGTAGTCAATAAAGAGTTTCAAATACCATTTTGTTCCAAATTATCTATAGAAATTGATTGAAATTGAGTATAATTGTAACCTAAATAAATTAAGCATTAATAATACCACATCTTTAGCATTGAGTGTCCACATCAGATCTAACCTTTTCATTATGTATATATTTTATATATTTGAGTTTTTCACAAGAATGAATAAGGACCTAAGTATGGAGAATTTTGATAACCATGAAATTCAAATATATTTAACCTACTTTAAGTATGTAAGTTTAGGCTGATTTGCATCTGAGTTACAAATATTACTACACTAATAATTCAAATTTAATATATTTTTAAAAATGTAAGAGATTGGCATGAAACATAAAAGCAAATGCATAATTTTACTTCATATAATCATCTAAGCAAAATTGGGGCTCCTCCAACAATTTAATCAAATATAAAGGTTGGGCGCCAAGCAAGTGCTTGTGCTCTAGACCCAACAAGTACACACCCTATGAAACACTTAATATAAAGAGTTCAACATCTGACAATCACTTGATATGGCCCGTAAGATATATATGTTATGATTCAAGAAGTCTGACCATGCAACTAAAAAAATACCCTATATCTCATAAGCTTTATTACTCATTTTTAAGTTTGGCACGTGAGTGTACCCAAAACAAAAGGCTTAGTTCTTAAAACCTTAGAGTTATAGCTTTTGATTTTGACAATTTTAGGTCCTATTTGATTGGAATCAAGGTTACTGTGTATAAGGATTGCTTTGCTATTAAGTATCTTATAACTAAGAAGGAAGCTAAGTCATACGTAATTTGATGGATCTTTCTGTTTTAGGAATATTATATAGAGATCCATGATAAGAAAATTATTAGAAATTAAATAGCTAACTACTTGGCTAAACCTATTCAAGAAAGCTCTAAAACTAATGATAGTGATATCAATGAGTATTTTTAAATGAGCAGTTGTTTGTTCTAGTTGAGCAAGCTATTCCTTAGTATGCAGATTTAATTGATTATATTGTGAGCAGCATTTTGTCGCATGAACTGACATGTAAATAAAGCAAAAAGTTGATGTATAAGGTCAAATTTTACTTTTGAGATGAGTCTTATCTTTTTAGAAAGTGTAAGGATACTATTATTCGGAGATGTGTGCCCCTAGAGAAGGTTAAGTGTAGTATCAAGATTTATCATAACCATAATTTGGAGCACATTTTGAAGGCTTTAGAACTAGTTCTAAGATTTTATAATCTGGATTTTATTTACCTACAATCTTTAAAACAGTGATTAAGTATGTTAAGAATTTGATAAATTTATTTTGTTGGTAAATATATTGTTGACCCTCACATATAGTTCACAAAGATGCATCGATTGAACACATAGCAAGCGATGAATGATGAATGTGATATTGCACGATCAAATATGAAATGCCATGATCATGCTCAAAAACACCCAAAACAATTTCAAATAGTAAAAATTATTGTACAAGCGCATTTAGAGCATCAAAATTGCTTAAACATAAGACTTTTATGATCAAAATGAGCATAAAATGATGTATATGACAATTTTTTTCCATGACATGCACATTTTAAGCTTAAACCATCTTGATCATCACCATAGTTATTTAAATGACCTCCAAGCACAATATAGACTGCATGAAAACATCCAGAACATTGAATTACTTATAGAGAGGTGTTTGTGATTGAACTAAGATGAATATGATAAATTAATAGTGTGATGTATTTGGTTTATACCCAAATCATTTTGATTGTGATAAAAGTTATTGAGACAATGGTCGATCATAAAACAGATCACTTGAGTGCATTCAGATTGTCAAAATTACTATGGAATAATCTTTTATGATAAAAAA